CATATCACACACAACCAACAACTTTTTTCCTTTCTTACACCCTTAGGTGACAGTATATACAACTTTAAAATTTAATTCTTTTAAGCTTTTTTTATTTTTTTATTGATAATTTTCAAGTCATAAATATTATTTATTGTATAAATAATTTATTAGTTTCAAATTTGAAAAGAATGATGCAGTGGACATGGACTGACAGTAAGAGAAGGGGGCACAGCTTAAGATCTATCAATTAAGGAATCTTTAATTAATTTTACATAAATTTTTATATCAAATTTATAATTTTTTATAAATTTTAAGTATAAATATTATATTATATTATATTTTTACATTTTATATATATACATTTAAAATTTTACATAAAATTTTATATAAAAGTAATTATATATACTGTAATTAATGATACTTAATTTGTACTCTAAGCACAGATTGAAAAATTCCTTTTTCTAATTCCTTTCTCGTTTGTGTTTATGGCATCCTTAATTGCAATGATATTGTAGGGTCAACTCTCTTTGCAGCTCACATGTCTGCTAGGGATTATTATTATATACTTGGTGTGAACAAGAGTGCCAGGGTGAGTTTTCTTCTTGGGTTTGTCTAATATGTGTTTAAAGACTCATTAATTAGAGAATTTTTAATTAATTTTACATAAATTTTTATCTTAAATTTATAAATTTTTTACAAATTTTAAAATAAAATAAAATATTATATTATATTTTACTTTTACGTATTATATTGTATATAAATTTTTTAACCTTACATAAAAATTTATGTAAAATTAATTATAAATACTATAATAAATGAGATCCCTATGGCACAAGTTAGAAAATCCCATAATTAATTAACACAAAACTATAATCTGCAAGTTTAATTCTCTGGTTCTAGGGGTGTGAATGTGGGAAAGAAACGGAATCAATTAACGCAGAATGTGGACGATGGCATGGTATAAAAATTGATGTTTTCCAATGCACAGAAAAGTCAGAGTAGGAAAGATATAGAACACCTTTCTTCATATCCACTCTCCCTAGTCTCCTTTTGTCCCAAATTCTTATACTTAGTAAATACATTCATTGACTCGGCAAAAAGATGATATATATGATGATTAGAGCTATAGTGGAGCACAAAACCACCTTGCTAGTTTTGGCGCAGAAAATCAGACTAGAGGCCCCCATGTGAAAGTGAGACACTAAAGGAAAATTCCAAAAAAATTGACTGAAAACTAATTATTTTAATTTTTTTTCCAGAGTTTCAAGTTTAGAAAAATAAATAAATTTCATAATTTTTTTTCCTAAATAAAATGCTGCCTTTACAAAATTAGTCACAGATAGGATAGAAGAAGGAAGTCACGGATAGGGATAAAAGAAGAAAGGGGGAAAATCTATTCCAGAAATTTTGGAACAGAGAGATTTATGGAAACAAAACAGAGCATTCTTTTTCATTCAACTACAGGTACTTGGTTCATTTCTCTTTTGAATATAGTTGGATCCCTTTAATTCTATATAAGTTTGTCAAATTTCTAATCTCTTGACCTTATGTTGAATTTTAATTTTTGCTTCTGAATTAGTATATTGATCGAGTTGTTCATGTGTTAAATTCTTCCTTTTGTATGCTTTCATTTTATTTTATTTTCCTCTTTCGTGGATTTCATACGGATTTTGTGAGTATCAAGTGATATGTAGTGATTTGATAATCTTCATGTTATCCATATTTCTCTGACAGAGAAATTTTTTTTTTGGAATAGTTGAAGTTGTCTGTACTTTTATAAAATGGTCCAAGTTATGCCCTTATTATTTTTAGCATATATATATATTTAAAATTTTGCTCTTTATTAAATCATGTTATTGAGATGCAGTATGTTTGGTCTTGAAAGGGATTAATTAAGTTTCTTTTTTAAAAAAAATTGTTAATAAAGTAATCAGGCAAAACTTACTTAAGGCAACGAAATTTTATTTGAATTATTAAGGAATTTGGTTGGCTGACGTGCACTTTTTCTTTTTCTTCATATTGATTATTTGTTTGGGTATTCATTTGGTATGGTATGTTTGGTATTGTCTCCATGAGGAAAATCATTCCTTTTGATTTATTTACTATATTGATTCATCTTAAATGAATACTTGATTGTCTTTTTAACTATTGGATGAGAAGCTCAATGTTTCCTTCCTTGTAAAAGCTTTAAGTAGGAATGCAAAATTTAGTATTTCCTTCTGAATTAAGGTAAATTTAAATACTTTTTAAATAAATTAAAAATATTCAAAATTAAAATATGTAGCAACCGCATTTTATATTGAAATTATGAGGTGCTTAACATCTTCCCATACTTAACCAACCTTCTCACTCTAAGTAAACTTAGGGGATTTATCCTACCTTATTTGGAGAGATGATGACACTATTCATATTGACACATCAACAACAACCATGTAATAACATGGTTACTGGGTGTGTACCTTAGCCTGGTAGGCTTAAGCTTCTGCTTGTTGGGGAGCGGCTTCTGGACGTCATCAGTAGTATAGAACTTGGGGGATGTAATTGCACCAAACCGGAAGTCCTTCTTCAGTCCGCGCTTGCACTTCGGAATGACCTGCAAAGCCCCGAGGTGGAACTCGGGGTAGACACTCCGATGCTTAAGTCAGCAATAATCGGGGCTACCTATAAGGCGGAGATAAAAAGAGCTTAGGGTTGGTTTCAATTACCTTTTGACGTGGCCCGGAGGGGGTATTTATAGGATTCAATGAGGAACCCACGTGGCATGCCAAGCAAGATAGTCGGAGCCTGACGTGTCTATCCAAACGATTATTTCGGGACCGGGAATTTGAGAGGTATTCAGGTGCACGGGTGTCCATCATTCCTGTTGTGCCGCTCATCATAAGGAATCAGGTGTGGACATGCTTATTGTCATTATCATGCAACTATTTGAGAGGGAAGCTTCGGATTCATTCCTCACTTCGGTTATAAAGGAATTACTGTAGCAGTCCGAGGTTTGGCACCTCGGCCCTGTCCTTACACTATTCCCCCCCCCGGAAGTCATTCACTTGTGAATGATGGTGCTGGGGATAATGAGGGAAGTGTATGAACAAAGAGAATACATATAACATAGCCGTAGCTAATAATGAAAGATGTAACAATGGGTCATACTGAGATGCCTTAAATAAAGTATAATCAGGGCGATTATAGCCGTAATCATGGGAAAAACAATGACCGGAGTCATAACGTAGTCAAGGTCATGATAAAAAATGACGACTGGAGTTATAAAGGCCGGGGCCGTGATGGAAAAAGATGACCGGAGTCACAATAGCCGGAGCAGTAATAAAATATGATGACCGGAGTCATAATGGCCGGAGCCGTAATAAAATATGATGACCGGAGTCATAATGGCCGGAGCCGTAATAAAATATGATGACCGGAGTCATAATGGCCGGAGCCGTAACAAAATGTGATGACCGGAGTCATAATGGCCGGAGCCGTAACAAAATGTGATGACCGGAGTCATAATGGCCGGAGTCATAATGGCCGGAGCCGAGGTAGAGTATGTGACATGTAGCCACAGTAACCAGGACTGAAGTAAAACATGTGTTCTCTGTGGCCGGAGCCGAAGTAAAACATGTGACACTGGGTCACTGTTGCCGTAGCCGAAGTAAAGTAGCTAACAATTATAATTGTAAAAGTAAACAAAAGTGTTGAGCTAGACTGAAGCATAAAGATAGAATAAAACATAACAAAATATAAATAAAGAAGTAAAATTGGCCAGGGCCATAATAAAATATAATGACTGAGGTCATAATGCCCGTATCCGAAATAAAATGCATGATATTGGGTTACTGTGGCCGAAGCCGATGTGAAATGTAATGCAGCATTATTGTGGTTGAAGCCGAGGTGAAATACTCTGCACAATTGAGAATATGCAAAGGTGAACAGAGGTGTTAAAATGGTTGTAGGTGGGCCCGTGTAAAAGTACTGACATAGGTGTGACAGTTGTCCTTGGAATGACGTGCGCAATAAATGCGGCCGTAAAAAGATAACCGCAACAGTTAAACGGGCAAAAAATTAAAAAACAAACCGTCTGATGCAAAATGGTATCGTTTAAGGTTGTCCGTTGAATTCTAAACGGTGTAACTAGGAACCGTTAGATTAAATGAATCTCAGCCATTGAGATCTAATTTTGCCCAGAGGTATAAATAGGCATTTTTTCTTCAGAAAAAAGTTTACTTGCATTTCTTTTCCTGCAAAACTTCTACGAGAAGCTTCATCGTTCATCTTCTGTTCGTGAACTGTGGTAACAACTGGGGATCTCTACATCAAATCTTTCAAAACCGAAATCAGGTACTGTACCCAAGCTTCTGATTTCTGATTTAATCGAAGTGTTTCTCTCCTTTCTACCTTTCTGTGATTGATTTAGAGTCCTTTGAAGGAAGTTAGGGTTAGAGGGGAGAAAGATCTTGAATGTGCAACAAAGGGGGTTTTTGTTTGTGTTTTTTTTTTTTTTTATTTCCTGACTTATTCCTCCCCCCTACTTCGTGCAGAGTCTGAGAAAATGTCGTCAGAAAGAACAGAAAGTATAGTAGGGAGTGAGGTGGAACCCTTGGACTACGGGGGGATGGACACAGAGAGTAGTCCATCTCCAACTAGTTCAAATGAAACAGTGGAGGGGGTGAGAGAGGATGAAGTGGTGGAGGTTGGGGGGGATGAGGTGGTAGAGGTTGGGAGGAATGAGGTGATGGGGGTTGGGGTAGATAGCATACCCATCACCGTAGTAGAAGTAGAAAGTAATGGGGAGAGAGGTTATGATAGGAATGCAGAAATAGTGGAGGAAATGAAGCAGTACCGATCTGAACTAAGGACCAGGGATGACCTGTGTCACTTAGTAGAGACGTACGAGATCTCTTCCCGGGTATTAGTTAGGCCAGCTGGGGTAGAGGAGAGGGCGTGTTCTGCTCCTCGGGATCACTGGATGCCTGTGTATTCCCACTATTTAATGGCGGGACTCAGGTTTCCACTTCCTGAGTTGCTAATAGGTTTACTTTTAGATTATAACATAGGGTTGACACAGTTGGTCCCCAACGCAATGAGGGTAATAATAGGTTTTTTAGTTTATTGCCGAGCTCAGGGGATCAGCGTGCCAACTGTAAATATGTTCAAGTATTTTTTTGTTTTAAAGGGGGGTAGCAGGAGAGATAAGGGGTGGTATTATTTCACCCTGAGGGTAGCTAATAAGGAGGGTAGAATTTTGTTCATTGCGGGTCCTTCATCCATCAAGGGATGGAAGGAAAAATTCTTTTTTGTTGATGACACAGAGTGGGGGAAAGGGGATGCCGAGGTGAGGGCATTAGCTTCCTGGAAGGCCAAAAGGGCTAACCAGAATAAGTTTAGCTTGAATAAGGATGAGGAGGAGGAGGTGGGGAGGTTGGTGAGGAAGAGGGGGGAAGAACTGAATATCTTGGACCTCACCAGCGCAGCGTGTATAGAAGCTGCTGAGCTCTATAGGCCAAGCGCCCTAAGTGAAGGTTTGTTTGTTATATACTGTAATGTTAGATGTAGAACATAGATTTGTAACTAATATTGCACTTCTTGCTTTGCAGCTGACATGGATCAATTTTTGAACACTGCTGGAGGGAAGGCCATCCCCAAGAAGCCAAGGAAGAAGTCAAGGACTTCGACCAAGCAAGTGGATGAGGGGAATGTGGGGAAAGAGGTGGTGCCCTTGGCGTCAGCTGGGACAGAGGAAGAGGTAGCACCACTAAAAAGAAAAGGTTGGGAGGAGAGGAGGGCTCTGCAAAAGAAACAGAAGGTGGTGGAGGAAGAGGGGAGTGGGGTGCCTGAGTTCGTACCTCAACCTCCTCCTGTTGAGCTGGACCCCGAGCTCAGACAGTTGGAGGAGGGGGCTGAGGTACGGGCTCCTGGTAAGGGGAAGGGCCCTGTTTCCCCTGCGGTGCCTCAGAGCAGCCTGTTCGAGGCAAAGAACACGATGGGGGCTAGGTGGTTCATCAACAGCACCTTCCCCGAGGTGGACAAGCGCCATGCGCGGGAGGAAGCTCTGAGGTACGGGGCGGCAACTGTTGTGAAGCACGTCCTTGAGGTATGTTAAATCAGTGCTGTTGTTTACTTATTCTGTTTGTTCTTCTCTTCTTTCGCTTTGAATTTCTGCTTTGATTTGCAGAGCGCGAGCTGGGTGAATGGTCTAGCCCAGGAGTTCAGAGATAGTGTCAAGGACCGTGCGCTCTTGCAGAGGCAGTGTAACCAGCTGCAAAAGGAGAAGGAAGAGCTGGAGAAGAAGAATAAGGAGCTGCAAGGGTCGCTGGACGAGGTGGTGCCAACTGTGAAGCAGTTGGAACAGGAGAGGGCTTCCCTGGGCACCAAGCTCGGCTTTGAGGAGACCAAGCGAAAGATCTCTGAAAGCGAGCGTGAGGCTCTGGCGCAAGAGTTAGAACTGACAAAGGAGGCTTTCTTGGAGCTGAAGGGGAATGTGCAGACCCTAGTGCATAATGGGATGAAGGAGCACATCAGCAACTTCATCAGCTCCAGCTCATTTGACAACATCGTCAACCTCTACCGATTGCCAACTGCCATCATTGCCTTCACGGACTGCAGAAAGAAGGTGAAGACTGTTTATCCCGAAGTGGATGTTACAAGGATCACCTTCGGAGAGCAAGAAGCTGGAGTGGAGGAAGATGGTGAAAGTATGTCAGCAGACTTCCGCCCAGAAATCAAACTGAAATGGGATCATGATGCTGATGGACGCACTGTTTTTCCTCCGAACTTCGATTTCGAGTTCGTGGCAGTGGAGAAAGAAGGGGCAGAGGTAGAGGAAGACGAGGTGGAGGCAGGAGTGGAAGGAGCTGGAGTGGATGAGGGCCAACCAATTCCAGAAGTGGAAATTCACCCAGTTCCTTCTGATGATGATCAGCCTCCCCTGCCAGACGAGCAGCAGCCAAGACAGCCACCTCTTCCAGCTGAAGAGGAGCCAGTGGAGCCACCTCCTCCAGCAGAGAATTAGC